TAGTAAATGATCAGAAATATTTGGAGACGACAACACAAGTGGTGAGTCTGAACAGTCACATGGACACAAGACTCGGTGGCAACTAACATGACTGTATTCCCAATAGAAACATTATTAGTCAGGTAGAAGTTAATAATGGGTCTAGATAAATGAAATGATGCAGACAATTTTTTTCCAGAAACTTTTTTGTTATACTGATTGAAAGTCTCTTCACATTCTGAAAAAAAAAATAAATAAATAAAATAAAATAAAAATAAGCTAAAAACTCGCGTTTGAATCATCAGTGGCAAATCCTTTAAATGAAAACGTACTTACGTGAGTCAGAAGTGCCGGCATTTTAGTCTAATGTTACTCTCCCAGGATCAGTAAAGAGTCCTCCATAAAATGTGCTGCAAGTAATATAATAATAAATAATTCCTGAATCCTTAGAGTTTTTATTTTGTTACAGTGTTATTGATCTCAGTGTTCACTGGGCAGGAAAGTCATCTGTGTATTTTTGAATGCAGTGCTTCATTTTGCAAGAGATGCAAGGCATTTTGCATTTTGTACGTGCAATTCTTGGATTTGTGTGTAAAGTTTTAAAAATGTGTGTAAGCAGTTGAAAAAAAAACCTGTAAGAAAAACTGTAATAACTAGATTGAAAAGTTTGAAAGACAAATTTTTCTAGATCCGCCCCTGGACCAGAGTCATATTCCTGTTGCATGTCCTCAATCTGGCAACCCTCCTGAGCATCGAGTCTGAAGAGGAGGACATTTTACAAATTCTGCTGAAGACATCAGACCATTTGCTCCTAAAATAAGCACACTTTAAGTTCAGGTCATTACAGTACAAGTATTCACTGCTAGCATGTTTGCCATTTAAAATAATCAACATATTGTTGCAAATAGACGTGCTAATGTAATTTCTTGTACAATTTCTCTCTGTTTATGTGTCAGGAGGCTGTAATGTTCTCACTGGCAGCCAATCAGAGGTCTGTCTAAACCATCTTGCCTTAGAGAATGAGGGATCTTGTTCTCGGTAATTACTGTAAACACCCATCTCACTAATGGAAGACAATGACTGTTGCAAACGCCAAGAGACACCGGAAGATTAGTGGGGAGTTTTATGGGGACATATCATTTAAAAAAAATGTTTGTAATCTAGTGTTTTAGGTAAAACGCAAAGATACCCACAAGGCTGGATCGGTTATCCAAACAACTGAGTGCTTGCTTAGAGAAGTTTTGAAAATGTATTCATTATGGTGTCATATTGACTGATTTAAATTTTAGATTTTAATTAGCACAGCAAACTGACTGAATCTATTAATACATTTGTTATCTGTGTAAAATTGTAAACTGTCACACAGATGTCATACAGGTTAATGCAATATTACAAATAAAAATTCTGTCTTTTGCTCACTCTTATGTTCTACCGTAACTTTTATTTATTCACTATTTCTTCTCTTTTCCTTATGATGAAAGTGAATGTTGATCATGGATGTACCTGGTCCTCTTAGTACAAATACTATGTAATGGCCTCAAAACACTTTTACTATACACGATTTGTAAACGAATATAACCAGCTTGTATCACATATGGGGCTTTTCTGTTGTAGTAAACTTGCTCTGTAGCTCACCTAGTATACAGCATTGCACTTGTGATGCAGAGCCCTCTTTTATGAGTCCCATGAAACACCAGTCAGGATAAAAGTGCTCAAAGACTTTTACAAGCAAGCTAAAATGGCACAGTTGCATCAGCAAATGTTTTTTTGTCTCACGTTTAGTAGTTTTTACTCTGTTGTTTAAATTTAGGGTGACAGATTCACATTTATCTGTTCAACTGAACACGCTTTTTAGTGGCACTTTTAGTGACATTTCACTTTAAAAGTGCAGCGTAATGTAATTTTTCAGAAATGTTGACAAAAGCAGGTTTTCCCAATGAGGCTAGGTTGGTTAAATATCTTCGTGGTTCACACAAGAAAATAATGCAGATTTTGGAACACCATGACAGTAAGTACACGATGGCATTGAATTTCTTTTTGTGTGTGCGAGTGTATGTGATATATCATCAAAGGGGCCCAGTTTTCAGTTCAACCTTGAAATATCCCAACAATGACATAACCTATTGTTTGTTTGTTGTGAGCTATACTTTCATAAAGCTTGTGTCAGGAAGTTTTCACAGTCAGGCTAATTTATTCTGTTAGATTTTCTGTGTTAATGAAGGATATCATTAATTAAGAAGTCTTTAAACAGATATGGTACCCCTCAAGATAACACCGTATGCAAAAATAATGTTCTCAAGTCATTGATGGAGTTCAGGAAGAGAATGGGACAGCATCTGGTCCATGCAAAGCAGAAATTAAAAACAGTTTGCACAGCATATGTGCTATCCTGCAGTCACAAGTCACCCCTCATTTTTTAGGGAAGAAAATGACAGCAATTAAAATCCCAGTCTCTTCTGACATAACCAAGTTGAATTCATATCATAGTCTCAAAGTCAATCAAAATGGCACTGAGAATCTTGAGTACACATAATGAAGAGGATGCATTGGAAAACAATTTATTTCTTTATGAATATTTATACTAATCACACTGTATTATCAAGATGATATATCCATCTATTTCCAAACCACTTTATCCTCTTCAGGGTCACCAGGGGCCTAGAGCCTATCCCAGCATCTCAGGCCAGGGGTGGGGGATGGATGGCCAGTAGGATATTATATATTTAATTTAATAATATTAAATTAAACATACTGCTTGGCATGTCCTAGGTGTTGCAATTTGATGAATAATTAAAGTCCTTATTATGTATTGTCACACCGTGCTTATTAACTAGCCGAAATAATCACATTTAAAATTAATTGCTTCATTCAAAGTACATTAAAGTTGGAGTCTGATGTATATACCATCATTAAAAATAAAGACCCCTCTAAAATGAAAAAGCGAAACGAAGCACAGATGAAAGGACTAAATCATTCCAGTGAAACAGGTGGCGGTGATCAATAGACACAAGTGATGCAGTGTCAAGGTTTGGCTGGGTAGATGTTGTAACACAATTCTCTTCAAAAGTTGCCAAGTATTCTGACAAAATAATTTTCATAAGCAAAATACAAACGGCAAGTACTTACTGTAATGATTTTAGTAAATATTTTACCAGTCACAGATTCTTTTTTGAGAGCTCTTCAAAACATGAAATGCACTCATGCTTTCCTTTTGGCTGCTGTCTTTCATGTCACATCTCACTATAGTTGCTGTGGAGAGAAGTTTGGGATGTGTTCTTATGGTGCCATCAGCCAAACAGTCTTTCTGATGATTTCCTTTTCCTGCAGAGTCATGTGCAGTTTATTTTTTGGTGTGTGTGGACCAGCAGCAAAAACATGTGCAGTTGTTTACCTGAGAGATTAAGTGTGGGGATAGTTGTTGTATTCAATTATTGTGGATTTGCACACTTCAGTGTTTACCCATATATATTGTATCATGGTCATCTATTTTAAATGGCTGTGCTGGATAACACACCTGAATTCACACATACAGGGAAACATGCAATGTAGATCCAGGGACCGATGGCAAGTGCTACAGTCACTGTCTGTTGAACTGTAGCTTATTTTTCTAGGTGTGAGATTGCAGTTGGCCGGTGTGAACATGAGCAGGTGTGACTGGATGCATTCATGAAGTCTAGTCCTTAATCCACTGCTTTTGTTTTCCTGCTTTCCTTAGAGCTGATACAATAGTTAGACAACCAAAACTGCAGTTGCTCCATGTAGACAAATTTATTGATTTAATCAGTGTTTAATATCACAATATTTGGGCATACAGAAGGATTTTGGATATTGATCAATACAATAATAAATAACTTTTTTTATGTTTTTCTAAATTAATGTTATATGGCTTATGGATTGGTTATCATTCATTTGTACGATCCCATTTGTATATATTTATATTATTTCATTTAATTTTGTAACGGTTAGGTTTTGGTGTAGGGTTAGTCATTAGCCAAAGTTTTTTTTTTATTATTATTAAACATTTTAATTCAAATTCATACAAAATGGCCACCTCATAAAATAATTTTTTTCTTATAAGATGATATTGATAGTATACTGAGAAAATAATAACTACACTGGCACACAAAAAAATAATGTTCTGAATTATCTTAATATGTGGGCTTTTCTCAGCAAATATTGATATAGCTTATTTGATTCATTAATTGCATTTTACATCATTTGCATTTTTTTCGATTTTTTTGGTCACACTTAATTTTTTTCTGCTTATTAATAGTTAGTAAGGTAGTTGTTAATTTTAGGTATTAGGTTGGATTAGGGATGTAGAATATGGTCATGCTAAATATGTGCTTTATAAGTACTAATAAACAGCCAATATGTTAAAGGGGTCATATGATGTTGCTAAAAAGAACATTATTTTGTGTATTTGGTGTAATGAAATGTGTTTATGCGGTTAGATGTTAAAAAAACACATTATTTTCCACATACTGTACATTATTGTTTCTCCTCTATGCCTGCCTTTCTGAAACGTGTCGATTTTTACAAAGCTCATCGGTCAGAAAAAAAGGAAAACTTGAAATCGCATCATATGACCCCTTTAATAATATGCATGCTAACAAGCAACTAGTTAATAGTGAGAACTGGTCCCTATTCTAAAGTGTTCCCAATTTTTTTTTAATTGATTGACAGTAAATGATTGACAGTATTATTAATAAAAATGTTTTGTTTAAAATATTATTAAACAGAATTATTAATATTTTGTTTAGTATTAAAATATTCGTAAATAGAAAAAAATGCAATATTTCACAGCTGCATATTTCACAATTGCACATTTCCCTTGCATAACAATTGCTGTCTGCCTCTGTCTTTACTCTTAGCCAAGCTGTTTTCCCCCTTCCCTGAGCTCAGTCTGACAACAGCTGCGTGTTATTCTAGAGGAGGAGTCTGTGTAGTTGTGCTTTACTCAGGAGGAGGAGTCTGTCCAGCCATTGGTCGAACACAAGAAACTATTAGTAAAGCAGTATGTTAAGGGAGGAGTGGGCTGAAAGGGGAAGTTCACATGCTATACAATTAAACTTAACGGATCTAAAAACAGACCTCTGATATGATTCATGATAATATTTCCATCCTGTTAGAAAGTGAAAGAACAACTGAGGAAGTATTTCTGTTCCTAGAAAAAGGACAGGAGAAGAACTTCAGGCTGTGGGAGAACTTGTTGCAGAACTGTTGAAGAGAAGTTGGTGAGTTAGATTTCACTTCAGTATTTAAAATGAAGCCTGCTGTCATGAAATGTGTTGCTTTGCAGATTTAAATATGAAATATAAAGCATGGTACATTATTGTTAAAAGATTTTTTAGATGGTGACAAGTACTATTCTTTAACTGTCCAAGAGTTTTTCTACTGTTTACATCTGCCCAACTTTTCTCCCATCAGAACAAATTTTAACTTTATATCTAAATCTGTGGCTTTCTTTCGTATCTAAAAAAGTGTCTGGTCCTCGAGAGAGTTGTGTGTAGTTTAACAGTGTTGAGTGACAGAGATGAAAAAGCCAGGTCAGCAAATAACCACAAACACTTGTAAGTGACATCTGCCCTGCTATATTAAGCTGCACCAGTACTCCAATATACTCCAAACACACAGAAAAGTATATTTCACAATATTGAAGTTATTTCTCTAATTCATTGATAGTAAACTCTTTGAATGATATTTATCTTAGGGTAGTTCACACAAAAATGAAAATTATGTCATCATTTACTAAACCTCCTGTCATTCCAAACCTGTATACCATTTGTTTTAAACATTTGAATTTATTTTCAAAAATGCCTTTTAATTTTCGAAAATTGACTTTGATTGTATGGACCAATAAATAAATAAATAAACATTCATCAGACATTCATTTTCTTTTATGTTCCTCAGAAGAAAGAAAGTCCTACAGTTTTGGACTGACATAAGGGTGAGTAAAAGATTATATAATCGTCATTATCCATCTAACCCTTATATTTTTGTATAAATAATTTTGCATTATTACCCAAAATTAAAACTTTTTTATATGTTAGCTTCTTTGGAGTTACCACCTTTTGCCTTGATTCTGCACACTCTGGTCATTCTGTTAACCAGTTTCAAGAGGTGCCATCTGGGATGTTTTTAAATTGTCTTGACTCCTCCACATTTATATTGGGCACCTGTTGGTTGCTTTTTTTCCTCACTATCCTTATTGCTTTGCTACTCATGCAGGGACTAGTATGTCCTGTTGCCTGAGGCTTGTATAAAAGCTTCAAGTGTAAATATTAGAGTAAAAGCAAGTCATGCTGGTGCACAAAGCTTATATTTGAGCACAGCTGGCATTAACAGTGCGGTTTTTAAATAATAGAGAGCTAAAAATTAAAACAAGCTAAAATTGCTTTATTCTAGCACTGAGTCGTGAAGAGGGAAGTAAATAAAAGTTATCTTAAATTAGAGAGTGAGAGTGAGAACTTGTTTTCCATCATCGCATATAACATTTATGAGAGCTCCTCCTTCAGCTGCAGGCATAAACATTGACACAACTTCATAGAGTCTAACAAGTTTATAAATTGGTAGCCTTGTCAAACCCATCTTTTTAAAATGACAGTGTTCAAACTGAAGTTTTTAACCCTCATGTCCTGCAAGTACTACAAACTAAAAACAAGAGAATGTCAGTGTATGATACGTTTGATATATGTAAATAAAAGAAATCCATCGCTGGATTTCAGGAAGGAAGTAGAGAGAAGGAAATACTGTGAATGTTTCCTTTGTTTCACAGTGAGTGATAAGGCCCAGGGTCTTTAAAGGCCTCTTCCTTTGTTTAGTAACTGCCAGAAAAGTCAGCAAAGGCTAAATAAGGTCAATGGAGTTTAATCGAATGTGTCACACGGCACTATATTGTGTACACATCAACATATCAGATCTACAGAGTAGAGCACTTAAACATTTCGTTTAGAGCTGACCAACTGGGTAAAGGCAATGACTTTCTAATTTGATTTGCTTCTGATTTATAAGCTCTCAATTCAGTTCAAATGAATTCTGAATATTTCAGTTGCTATATCAACAAACCTGTTTAAATTCTTACATAGTCACCTGATGGTACACTATTGTTCAAAAGTTAGGGGTCGGTAAAAAAAAAAAGAAGCTCAGCAAGGCTACATTTATTTGATCAAAATACAGTAAAAACAGTAATAATGTGACATATTATTTCAATTTAAGGTAAACAAAAATTTAATTTATTTATGTGATGGGAAAGCTGAATTTTCAGCAGCCATTACTTCAGTCTTCAGTGTCACATGATCATTCAGAAATCATTCTAATATGCTGATTTGCTGCTCAATAAACATTTCTTATCAATGTTAAAAACAGTTTTGCTGTTTAATATTTTTGTGCACACTGTGACCTTCACTGTAAAAAAAGTTGAGAAAACTTAAAAGTTTAAGGCAACCAGCTTCAGCAGATTTTTGAGTTTTCTCAACTTGTTTTTGTAGGAGATTTCTGAGTTTTCTCAACTTTTTTGTTGTATAAACTGAAAACAACAAGTTGAGAAAACTCAAAAATCTGCTGAAGCTGGTTGTCTTAAACTTTTAAGTTTTCTCAACTTTTGATTTTTTTTTTACAGTGTTGTAACATTCTTTTGTAACATTATAAATGCATTTACTGTCACTTTTTATCAGTTTATGACCTTGCTCAAAAAAGTCTTACTGATCCCAACTTTTTGATGTTAGTGTGTAACATGCATTATGACTCCAACACCACCCAGATTAGATTGCCAGGACCCAATTTATTTTCATTGAGAGGGGTGAATGGTCATATAGTGTAGAGCAAGTGCAGTCGCATTAAACCAATAAGCAATAGAGAAATGGACTGCACATTGTGTGGGGGTGGTGAGCCAGTATCCACCACTGACTCACTGACATCTGCAAGACGGTTGCATCCACTTTAAAAAGCACAGATTAACTTTACTGATTTACAGTGATGTACATGTAAAATAATAATTGCAGCTTTAAAATTAACCTCTGATTTGTCCCTTCAAATTATTTTAATACGCTCCTCTGACCTAGTCAAAAGCCAGTAGGAAGTTATCAACCCCCTGTTGTGTCACAAAACAGAGCTTTTTCCGGAAATTTGAAAGAACTTCATAACATAGATTCATAAAATAGCTAGGAAGCCACACAAGCCTCAGATCAACATTGCTGGCTAGAGATGTGGCATCTTGCTGTCTTTTTGTCACATTCTCTTTATATGGTCTAAATGGGAAAAACAAGTCAGGTTTTGTTTACATTATAGAGATCTTTGACCTACAATTATCGGTATCAGCCAAAGTAAAACTTACTAAACAAACATGCTAAATAATGTCTCAATGATAATCTAAACATGCAGTGCAGCTTATGTAAATAATGGATAACATTAGAAAAGTAAGTGCAAATATTATTCAGTATTCACATTGGGATTTGGATGATGTAATCTGTTATGTGCTTTATCTTGGAACATAAACGACACTCTCCTGCTATTTCCTCGCTCTGTTTCCCTGAGAGCACATTGGAGTGAAGCAATTGCCCTCTCTTTCTTTCTACAGACATCTCATCATCCCTGAGAACACTCTCCCGCAGCTGTCCCCCTCAATCTCACTGCCAAATATTCCTTCACATGTCTGTTATGGCCAACTCCACAGAACGTAGCGTAACAAGCAAATCTGACACATCACTCATATCTATTCGTAAGTATTTTGTAGTTCTGTGCACTATACTGAATGAGCGTCAGCACACGCTGCAGCGTTATCAAATGGGTGTGTTTGGATGTGGATTGGTGACATTTAGAAGAGCAGACTGCTCTGAATTTCACATACAGAAATGAGGATGTGTGGTTTGTGTGTGTTGGCAATGGCATGCAAGCATGTGTGTAGCATCAGATGTGTGGTTTATGTGTGTGAGATATTTTTGTAATATGATATATGATTGCAGTTGACATTATTCTCTGCTATGTGTATATATATATATATATTTCAAAACAACCGTTTTCTAATTTTAAATATATTTTAAAATTTCATTCAGAAAAGCTGAACTTTCATTACTCCAGTTTTCAGTGTCATATTATCCTTCAGAAATCATTCTAATATGCAGATTTGGTGCTTATGAAAGATTTTGTATTATCAGTGTAGAAAACAGTTGTGCAGATTAATATTTTTGTGGAAAGTATGATACGTTTTTTTAAAGATTCTGAATAGAAAGTGTGGGGAAAAAATGGAAATCTATAATGGCATTCTGTCTTTACTGTCACTTTTGGTCAATTTAATGCATTGCTGGATGAAAGTATGTCTTGATTTCTTTAAAAAAATAAAAAAGCTTTTTTTTTTTTTTTTTTAAATGAATACACTTTCATTCCACAATGCATTAAATTGACCAAATCTTACTGACCCCAAACATTTGAACAGGATATTAATTTAAAAAAAACTACCTCTGTTATATTTTCCTTATGTATAGTATGTGACTATCAATCATATGTGCTTTATCACAAGAAGGTATAGTGAAACAACTAAAACATCAAACCATTTTGTGGACCTTTTGTTGTTCCCTAACTTGCGTTGTACTAGATTTGGAACTGCTGGCTTACCAGAGATCTGTTTGACAGAGGGTGATGGTGGTGTGGTACAGCTCTGAATATGAGATATGGAATGTTTACTAGATCGGGAACAACCAGCTGTGAAAACATAGCCGACAGCATAACAAGCCCATAAGAGTCAAAATACAGCAAGGCTCTTGATAATCAACAGAAATCAGTATTAGTACACTTTGAGAATAATTCACCATGAATGAATTGTACCAGCTGATAACGTCCTTTGTTTACACATGTTGTTTACGTTGTTTTAGCACCGGAGAGAATTATGCAAATCAGAAAGCAATGAAAACACACCAAAAAAATAAAATAATTAGTGCTGAGTTTACTGTGCATGGTGAAATTTCCGATCTTACAGGCCAGTTCTGGGTTGTGGGGGCTGCAGAAGACTACTGTGATGTGGCAAGTTTTGGGAATGAGCTTTTGAGGCTAATTTACATTGAAAGGAGGTGTGTTAGTGTCTATAAATACTTGATGCTAAAAAAGGAATGAGATAAAAACATGCAAAAAGCAACTGAAAAGGGCATCATATATCATAATCCATATGAATAATGTTCTGAATAAGGTTAGACAAAATTCAAAATTTAAATGTGGCCTCCCTTTTAATAAATGAGTTGGAATTTGAATTGCATTGTCCACACCAGGAAAATATTGTGCCAAAACATAATTACATGATTGAGGTTGAGAAATTATGCCTGTTTATTCCCTGTTAAAACAATTAAAATAGCCATCAGAACAGATTAAAGTGTATCAGAAAATGCTGTAGTCCATTAAAAGTTATATAATGGGAAACCTTATACTTACATTTTGACATATTTAATCATATTTAATCTTTATAAATTTCTATAGGTAGCATTTCAAACATTGAATATTCATGCATTCTGATGTTTCTAGAAATACCCAGTATGTTGTGGTATTTTAATGGATATTTCATACTGAAGAAAGTTTTAAAAACTGAACCTCATAGATGTTGTAAAGCACTTGAAATTAACTTTCACTCTGCATCTTTCTTTCGTTTGATTGCTGTCTCTTGAAATAATGAAAACTGAGACTCAAAGGAGCTTAAAAAACACAATAGAAGAAATACTGACTTTTTATTGTACTCCAACGTGACAAAAAAAAAAAACTAACAAACAAACAAGTGACTATTAGAAATGGATTCATGAAATCCTAAGAAAAAATCTCTATACCTAACATCTTTTGATATACTTTTCTGTTGTTCTTTTTTGTAATTCTAAAAAGATGCTGTGTGCATTGTGATGAAGTCGTGGCACAGATCGGTGACCAGTTTCAAGGTTGTATTTTAGATCACAGGCTTAGGATCAGTTTTCAAAGAAGCCAGTAGGTCATCACCTGTTGTGTGTTGGCATAGTGCTGAGTTTAAATAAACATTCAAAAGGGGGCATAAGCTGTGTCTGTGAAGACGGATGAGGGTAGTACAATCTTGATGCTAATTGATGACTTACTTGTGTGACAGGTTAAGTTTTTTAATTTATTTAGAGATGAATAAAATAGATCTCAAACAAGTAAGAAGATGGCTCAAACATAAAAGCTAGGCCAAGAGAAGAGAGAAAACAAATAAGGGAAATAGGACAAGACTGCTTTGTTCTTGGTGGAGGATGAAACAAAGTTAGAACCAGAGGGGTTGTAGATGTTTTTTAGCTACAGGACAAACACTGAGTGAGTGTGTGTATGTGTTCCTCACAGCAACAAAACAGCAAGCCAAAATGTTGATTTATCTTCTGTTCTGAAAGCCCTCGCATCCAAGTCCCCCAAGTATGTGATGGAAAACATAGCAAACAAAACGCTTGTTGGTCTGTATCCCGCCGCAGTCCAACAGCTGCATGCGCATTCACCTTGCATTGACACTTACGCCATGACATTGTTTTTAATTGGGAACTGTTAAATGAAGGGCAGTCTGCACATCTGTGTTTGTAGCTGTAATGGACCACAGAGGTTACTAATGAACTGTGTTTTATCTTACGTTATGCCAAGTTCAAGGATGGTTATGTTTTACAAACTTTCAATAATAATGAGAAAAACAATAATTCGATAATATTTTAATCATTTTATTTTAATAATAATTTTAGTTATTGATTTTATGTTTTTTATAAACTTTGTAACTATTTAAAAATTTTAAAAACATTTTTTTTTGTTTATATTTTTACATCATATTACAGAAATGATCTATTTCAAATACTCAGCATTAACAAAACAAAAAACACTGATACTGATAAAAAAAAATACTGAAATATGAAATCTCTAACTCCACTACAAAACAAAAGTATTGGCTACAAGACTACAAGATTCATTGTATTGTAAATTGAAATGTTGCTAAACACCATCTAAAATCTGCTTATACTATTTACTCTTTGAATAAACAAATTTGAGAAACCTGACAAAAAAAGTTGTTCAGCTAAAATATTTTCTTTTTGTTTAAATAAAACACTGATGCAATGCAGTAAGTTAATTAAGCTGCTTTCTTCAGTTTTATTATGAGTCTTTTGAACTAGCATGATATCATTAGGAATGAAATACAGATTTAAAACAGTTTGTCTCTTTGTGTGTCATCTTTATCAGTTTCCTGTATGTGATATGTGTATGTCCGTCCACAGGAATGTTGGAGAATCAACAGCATGCTCTTTATATTATTATGATGGAAACAGGCACTGTTCTCAACCAGCTGTCCATAATCAACCTCAGTGGGCCTGCAGTCACTTGACTGACTCATGAGAGCACATGCCCATTAGTAAACTCATTGAAAAGGCTTTTTCTCTCAGAGACTCACTGACTCTCAGCTTGAATGAGGGAATCTGAGAGTGTGGTGGAGAGGTATTCTTTCGAGGCGAGATGCGTGACATATGGTTGGGTGAGATAGGAACGGTTACCACTTGAGCCTCAAATCCCAGGCAGATGTGACCTCAGGCCATGAAGGAAAAAGAGAGATGGAGAGAAACACCAGATTGTTTGAGGAAATCAGTTGCAGAAAAGCAGAGAGAGGGGAATAGTGAAGAGCTCTTTAACTGAGACTCCCACAGGACTGAGTGTGTGAGTGTGTGTGTGTGTGTGTGTGTGTGTGTGTGTGTGTGTGTGTGTGTGTGTGTGTGTGTGATAATAAAAAGTGTCAATAAAAAATTGTGAAGATGTGTTGGAACTGACAGAAATTTTGGGGGAGGGTATAGGTGTCATGAGCAGACAAGGCAATTTGATTGTTGAGGAAAACAACATTTTTAACATCCCTCAAACCATAAGCCTAATAAAACTTTACCTTAAAGTTAACATGACATAAAAAAAATCATGCTATATATTGTCTAAATGCAGTTATTGTGAACGATTCATCTGTACGTTTTATTTTATTTTATTTTTGACCTTAATTCTTAATCAAAATATCTTAACTCAATCTTCTGGATCTTCGATCTTCTCCTTTCAATCAACAACTGATGCAGTAAACCTGATCTCATCGCGAAAACGTACCTGTGGGAACCTTTTCATAAAAAACACCCAAAACGTACCAATAAGTACATATCACTGCAGTTTCCAAAAGCAATGAACACTAGAGGCTGTAAAACAGCAAGCACTAATTGTTTTCGTACACATTTATGATTACAGCTCCATATGTTTCGTTTTCTGGACGTAACAAGCTTGCTTGGTAGCTCAGCCGGCACGAATTGGACTTGGATGTGGAATTCTTGGGTATGAATCCCGTGAAAAACATGACTCACGCTGAAAGAGCTGAAAGATGAGAGATCGAAAAACAAGCTAAAACGGTATGTTTGCGATTGCGTTTTTACGTCACATTCGCTTTTTTCATACTTTCTGGTAGGTTTAGGTGTAGTGCAAATGGTACATTATTTTAAAATGTATTACAGTTATAGCTCCACTCATCGGACATTTCAAGTCAGAAAAGAGGTGACTCATACAAAACCAACGTCACATAAAATGTACCATATGTACGTTAATCAGTTTCGGGGGGAAAAAACAAACACTCTTTTCGCACCACTCAATGGACATTTCACATCGAATATGTCACGAAACGTACATAGCGCTACATATTTCGCGTATTGCAAAAAGTTCCCACAGGTACGTTCAGGCTTGATACAGTCC